GGAGGAATCTCAGCCATCTCCTGCGGCTCTGCTTTGCTGCTCCCGTCTTTCCTGCAGCAGTGCGCCTCTGATCATGCACACCTCCCCTGCATGAACGGAACTGCAATCGTGGCCATCTCCCCACTCGGGGCGGGGCGTGGGGGAGAGATGGCTGCAATCTTGGTCACCACCCAAAGCGGTGTTTGCGACCCAAGTCAATATTTTTCAGAAATTTTTGTTCGTGACCCTATTTGTTCGTGAACCAAGGCGTTCGGGAACTGAGGTACCACTGTACATTGTAAAGTTTTGAATTTACTACATTTGAATAGCAGGAAGAGAGAATCTGTATGCATTGGCAAATGACCACTTGTTTATCATGTTCAGATAATCAGCTGAATTGAAAATTAGAACACCATAAGCTCCCAGCCCTTTTCTTGCTAGAAGAAAGATGTGAACTCTGATGACTAAGAATGAGCAATGCCTCAAAATTAGAACTTAGGGACCGTTCAAAGTCTGGCAGCAGCTTCTTGATGGATTTTAGTGCTAGCAAAGTTACGATATTAAGGACATAGCACCTGAGTGCCAACTGAACGTTTGATCAATAAGCTCTGAGGACATGATTTTGCTAATAACATTTAGCAGTAACATCTGTGCATGACATGTGCAATATGCTATGATAAGCCTGCTAGGAAGTTCCAAAAGTTTACCATTGGGTGGGGTTTCAAGAATGAAGTACATGAGCTGGATACTTGCTGCTTACTCCACTCTACATACAAATCCATAGTGATGAATATTGGCCGAACATGTCAACTCTTGATTCTCTTCAAAGGTTCACAGGACAGAGTAAGTTGTCTGTATTCAAAATGAAATGTTAAAATGAACAGTTTCCCACAACCAGAAGTTAATATTGCAAGTAAACAGTCTAGGAATGCCTTATGCTTTTGCATTGTTAAAGCTTAGCATTTGTGAACCAGAATTTTGCCTGGATATGAGATTGCAGAGAACCCCCATGTAAGCCATTTTGAACTTTCAAAAGAAAGAACAGGTTTGTAGTTGTTGTTAGTCACGAAGTCGTGTCCGACCCATCGTGACCCCATGGACAACACTCCTCCAGGCCTTCCTGTCCTCCACTATCTCCCGGAGTCCACCTAAGCTCACACCAACTCCCTCAGTGACTCCATCTAGCCACCTCATCCTCTGCCGTCCCCTTCTTCTTTTGCCATCTATTGTTCCCAGCATTAGACTCTTCTCCAGGGAGTCCTTCCTTCTCATTAGGTGGTCAAAGAATTTGAGTTTCATCTTCAGGATCTGGCCTTCTAAAGAGCAGACAGGGTTGATCTCCTCTAGGACTGACTGGTTTGATCACCTTGCGGTCCAAGGGACTCGCAGGAGTCTCCTCCAGTACCACAATTCAAAGGCCTCAATTCTTCGGTGCTCAGCCTTCCTTAGGGTCCAGCTTTCACAGCCATACATTGCAACTGGGAAAACCATAGCCTTGACTATACGCACTTTTGTTGGCAGGGTGATGTCTCTGCTTTTTAGTATGCTGTCTAGATTTGCCATAGCTTTCCTCCCCAGGAGCAAGCGTCTTTTAATTTCTTAGCTGCAGTCCCCATCTGTGGTGATCTTGGAGCTCAGGAAAATAAAATCTGTCACTACCTCCATTTCTTCCCCATCTATTTGCCAGGAAGTGATAGGACCGGATGCCATGATCTTAGTTTTCTTAATGTTGAGTTTCAAGCCAACTTTTTTGCTCTCCTCCTTCACCCGCATCAAGAGGCATTTTAGTTCCTCTTCACTTTCTGCCATTGGAGTCGTATTGTCTGCATATCTGTGGTTGTTGATATTTCTCCCAGCAATCTTAATTCCAACTGGTGATTCATCTAGCTCTGCCTTTCTCATGATGTGCTCTGCATATAAGTTAAATAGACAGGGTGACAGTATACAGCCTTGCCAAACTCCTTTCTCAAGTTTGAACCAATCAGTGGTTCCATGTCCAGTTCTCACTGTTGCTTCTTGACCCGCATATAGGTTTCTCAAGAGACAAATAAGATGGTCTGGTACTCCCATCTCTTTAAGAACTTGCCACAATTTGTTGTGATCCATACAATCAAAGGCTTTAGCATAGTCAATGAAGCAGAAGTAGATGTTTTTCTAGAACTCCTTAGCTTTCTCCATGATCCAGCGTATGTTGGCAATTTGATCTCTAGTTCCTCTCCCTCTTCGAAATCCTGCTTGTACTTCTGGTAGTTCTCAGTTCACATACTGCTGGAGCCTAGTTTGTAGGATTTTGAGCATCACTTTGCTAGCATGTGAAATGAGTGCAATGGTGTGGTAGTTTGAACATTCTTTGGCATTGCCCTTCTTTGGGATGGGAATGTAAACTGACCTTTTCCAATCCTGCGGCCACTGTTGAGTTTTCCAAATTTGCTGGCATATTGAGTGTAACACTTTTACTGCATCGTCTTTTAGGATTTTGAATAGCTCAGCTGGAATACTGTCACCTCCACTAGCTTTGTTGTTGCTCAGACTTCCTACGGCCCATGTGACTTCACATTCCAGGATGTCTGGCTCGAGGTCAGTGACCACCCCATCATGGTTATCAGGGACGTTAAGCTCTTTCTTGTATAGTTCTTCTGTGTAATCTTGCCATCTCTTCTTAATCTGTTCTGCCTCTGTTAGGTCCCTGCCATTTTGGTCCTTTATCATGCCCATCTTTGCATGAAACGTTCCCTTTATATCTCCAATTTTCTTGAAGAGATCTCTGGTCCTCCCTATTCTATTGTTTTCCTCTGTTTCTTTGCACTGTTCATTTAAGAAGGCATTCTTATCTCTTCTAGCTATTCCCTGGAATTCTGCATTCAATTGTTTTTATCTTTCTCTTTCTCCCTTGCTTTTCGCTTCTTTCCTCAGCTATTTGTAAAGCTTCCTCAGACAGCCATTTTTCTTTCTTGCATTTCTTTTTCTTTGGGATGGTTTTAGTTATGAACCTCCATCTGTAGTTCTTCAGGCACTGTATCAGATCTAATTCCTTAAATCTATTTGTCACCTCTACTGTATATTCATCAGGGATATGATTTAGGTCATACCTGAGTGGCCTAGTGCTTTTCCCTACTTTCTTCAACTTCAAGCCTAAATTTTGCAACAAGAAGCTCATGATCTGAGCCACAGTCAACTCCTGGTCTAGTTTTTACTGACTGTATAGAGCTTCTCCATCTTTGGCTGAAGAGCACATAGTCAATCTGATTTCTGTGTTGACCATCTGGTGATGTCCATGTGTAGAGTCGTCTCTTGGGTTGTTGGAAAAAAGTGTTTATTATGACCATCATATTCTTTTGACAAAATTCTACCAGCCTGTGCCCTGCTTCATTTTGTACTCCAAGGCCAAACTTGCCTGTTATTCCAGTTATCTTTTGGCTTCCTACTTTAGCATTCCAATCCCCCATGATGATAAGGACATCATTTTTTGGAGTTAATTCTAGAAGGTGTTCATAGAACTGATCAACTTCAGCCTCTTCAGCACCAGTGGTTGGGGCATAGACTTGGACTATTGTGATGTTGGATGGTTTGCCTTGGATTCGAACTGAGATCATTCTGTCATTTTGGAGATTGTATCCCAGTACTGCTTTTCCTACTCTTTTATTGACTATGAAGGCTACTCCATTTCTTCCGAGGGATTCTTGCCCGCAGTGGTATACCTGATAGTCATCTGAATTAAATTCACCCATTCCGGTCCATTTTAGTTCACTGATTCCTAAGATGTCGATGTTCAGTCTTGTCATCTCTTGTTTGACCACATCCACCTTGCCTTGATTCATGGATCTTACATTCCAGGTTCCTATGGAGTATAGATCTTTGCAGCATCGGACTCTCCTTTCACTAGCAGATACATCAGCAACTGAGTGTCCTTTCGGCTTTGACCCAGTTGCTTCATTCTTTCTGGCGCTACTAGTACTAGCCCTTTGCTCTTCCCCAGTAGCATACTGGACACCTTCCGACCTGAGGAGCTCATCTTCCAGCGTCATATCTTTTTGCCTTTTGGTACTGTCCATGGGGTTTTCATGGCAAAGATACTGGAGTGGGTTGCCATTTCCTTCTCCAGTGGATCACGTTTTGTCAGAGCTCTCTGCTATGACCTGTCCGTCTTGGGTGCCCCTGCATGGCATAGCTCATAGCTTCATTGAGCTATGCAAGCCCCTTTGCCACAACAAGGCAGTGATCCATGAAGGAGAAGAACAGGATACGATTAACCAAAAATAAAAAATACTGATATTGGTAACGCACCTAAAATGGAAAGTATAGCAGTTAGTGTTGGACTGAGACTCAAGAAACCTGAGTTCTAATCTCCTTTTGACCTTGCAACTCAGTGGGTGAAGCTTAGCTCAGTGAGCCAAGCTTAATTTTCACTGAGTCTCTGTAAAGGTAAAATAAAGGGGGTGGGATCAAGCCTTGGGCTCCTTGAAGGAAAAGTGGGGTATAAATGAAGCAGTTCAGTGATGTGCACATATTAAAAACATGACAGTTCTTGCCCGCATTCTTATAATCTAAAAATATGAGACACACAAGGAAAATGAGCTGAGGAGAAAAGAGGAAAACAATGCCGCTGTTCTTCAAAGTTGCTTAGATCTTACATTGACTAACATGAATGGAAACAGCCCAGAGAAAGGAGTAGCCAAATGGCAGTTGGTCTCTCAGCCATTTCTTCCTCTGCAAAATGGCTACAGATCATATGTGACAGTTGAGGGAACAAAAAGACCCGATGGCATTTTGTCTCTGAACAGTTTGCAAATACATGGGGAATGCTCACCACATTAGTCAACCTTCTCCAATTGGTGGCTGTCCATGGCCCCATTGCAAAGAAAGAAGTATTTTCCAGTATTGCTGCTGAGATTCTTTAAACTGAGGATGTCAAGGATTGAACTTGGAATAACTTGCATGAAAAAGCATGTATTATACTGAACTTTGGACATTTTTAAACTAAGTTTTTGGTATCAACACTTTTTTTCTCCCTCACCCAAAAGCCAATTATGTTCCGTGGTGAAGTACGCTTGAATGTAGAAGAAAAAAAGACCAGAGCTGCTCGTGAACGGGAGACTCGAGGTGGTGGTGATGACCGCAGGGATATTCGGCGCAACGACAGAGGTCCTGGGGGTCCACGTGGCATAGTGGGTGGTGGAATGATGCGAGACCGTGATGGAAGAGGGCCTCCTCTAAGGGGTGGCATGGCCCAGAAACTTGGTTCTGGAAGAGGAACTGGGCAGATGGAAGGCCGGTTTGCAGGTCAACGTCGCTGAAGATCCGTGTTGGCAGGCAGTCTTGGCAGTGATACATTATTCGTCGTGTTTGCATTCTTGTTTATTTTCTGGCTTTGGAATGTAACACAGCCTTTTTGATCATTTCTTTGATGTGAAAAACATCTTTTGGTTACCAGTTAAATTGAAGTGGACGTTCTTCCCCCAGTTTCTCAAAGAAGTCACACTGTTAACTTATAAATTAGACTTGGAGATTAAGGACTGAGAAATGACCATTTAAACTTTCTACAGCAACAACGAAAGGACAAAGTGTGTGTCTAACTGAGTTAAGGTCCTTCCAGTGTAAAAACAAATCCTTTTGCTGCACATTTTGTGTGTTACTATATCTGCTAATTACTGTTGGAAACGCAAATAGTGCAATCTTTGCAATTGGAGAAGTTTGCCCTTTTTTCCTTTTAGAACACTTGGCTCCAAACAACTCATGTTTTTATGAACTTAACCGCACTAATGGGTACTTGACTCGTTTTACATTGACATCTGCTGAAAGCAGCAAGAAAAAAGTAGTTTGTGAAATGATGCGGGCATCTGCTCTGCTTGCTGTGACCAATATATGTACACACACAAACCTTAAGACTATAACTATGTTCCAGAAGGAAACCATTTAGTTGTAAACACAAATGTAAAGCTTCAAAAATCATAGTCCTGAATATCAAACAAGTTTTAAAAAAAAGATTTTACGAGCTCCCTGCCTCTCTCTCCAAAGCAGGGATGGCTGATTGCTCAACACACTCCTCCTCCCTTTTTCCCTTTCTGTAAGCAGTGTACAGTGAAAATTGTCTTTACTGTATTGAGGTCTCTGGTAATGTAATAAGCATGATGGTGCCTTCTATTAAATACATCATTCCAGTCTTGCTGGTGATTTTGTACAGTATAGTGTATGAATGGCTGTGTTGCAAAACTTTAACAGCTGTAAAAATGTTTATAAAATCATTGTATAAAAATTGCAGTATCTTTAAATCAGTAAAAGTTACTGGATTATAATCTGCCTAGCTCTACAGCTAACAAGTTTCTGAAGTCCTTGAAGAAGGGAGAAATGAAGCAGTAGCTGTATTTTTTACAGAAGTGGAGCTATGGAACTGAGTGTGCATTCTTGCATAGACAAGTCCAAAGTTAATCAAGTGTGTACCTTCATTTTAAGTGTATTTCAAATAACATGTTTAACAATAAAATGTGTTGTTCAAGGATACTGCAATTTTCACAGGGCAGGGTAATAGCTCAAGTATTTGCTATTCCAGTTTTTGAACTGTCACCAATTTTGCACAAACCTTCAAACAATGTTGATGCCTATGTGGCTCAGATTTGTACATGGAGGGAAGACCTCCTCTTGTGTACTTGGACTTTGTAGAGTTTCTTGGTGAGAGGTTTGCTGTTTCCAGGTTCCTGTTTGCATAGAGAGCACATTCCAGAAAACTGCAAATGTAGCAAACAATTCTCCCTGGCTTCACACTGGACAACTCAGCAAACCTCAGGCTTACTCTTGAGGAGGGGAGGCAAAAGCATGTGACCACTCAGAGCTGCTCTAAGCATGGAAGACCTCACTTGTTATGATGTAACAAAAACACCTAACACAAGGAGCATTTGGTTAAAGTAACCTCCTGCTGTTTCCTATGAATGTGGAAAATCTTGCCTATGTATTAGGGTGGGGGAGTGAGTTTCTATCATCCTATTTCACATATACACCCCAAACTGAGGTCTTCCATGTTTGACGGTAAGTCTTGCACTATTTTCATACACTTTCTGGGACACATTTCTCTATTTCCATGTTTATATTTTGGGGTGTTTTTTTGTGTTGAACTGTTTCATTTTCAAATGATACCTGGAAATATAGTACTTGAATGCCTCACCACAAACCATAAACTTGACTTAAGTTTGAAGCCTTTCTTTAAACTGTTGTTTTCAGCAGTTTGCTTACCAGTGTTTTGTGTTCCTTGACTTTTAAAAGTGCTATGGTATTGCCCTGCTATCTTCTGTAAAACTGTTAAGGCAAATGGCACTGGAGGACTGATCAGAAAAGACCTAACTATTAGAGGAGCTACTGAGCCATTCAGTTTTCCGGCTTGCTTCTTTAAATGCCATGAAATAACAATATTGGAAGCATATACAGAAGTTTACATGGTGATCATTCACCTATTGTACTGTGGACTCGTAGTGTTTTTGTCCCTCCTTTCAATAAATGTACCTCTAAAAGGAAAAGCAACAGATCTTTGACCTGTTAAACTGCTGATTTGTTGA